CCCTCCTCCTCCTCCTCCTCCTCCTCCTCCTCCTCCTCCTCCTCCAATTCAGCTGCTGAAGGGGCCAGCGGCGGACAGGCCACAGCACTACCCGTATGCGTCTGACTTGCAGCAACTGGGAGTGTTATAAAGTGCCCCCTCCCCACTTTACAGGCATTGCTGACACCTAGGAAAGGGGTGGGATGTGCATCCCAAAAGGGTGGGGCAGCCACCCTGGTTTTGCCCCTTTGAGAAAGGCCTCCGGTTCTTCGGATGCCTCGGATGTTTGCCTACTTTTAACCCATCTTTGCAACTCTGCGTTTCAGAGGACGAGTTCAAAGCTCAACTAGAAGAGACCCCCCAACTCATGCGGACACGGAGCGATGTGGGCGTGCGCCGCAGAGGGAACCTTCGCACCCCCAGTGAACAGCGGAGGATCAAGCGCCACCGTTTCTCCATCAACGGGCATTTCTACAATCACAAAGTGAGCCTCCGGGGCAGGGAGGGGGGCTGGCAGGGAGGGGAATCTCTTGGGAAAACCAAGCAAGAAGGTCTGTAAAACAGAGGTTGAGACTCTAGAAAAAGTGCAGAGAAGAGCAACCAGGATGATTAAGGGACTGGAGGCTGAAAGATATGATGAACGGTTGCAGAAACTGGGCCTGGCTAGTCTAGGGAAGAGAAGGACCAGGGGAGACAGGAGAGCAGTCTTCCAATATTTGAGGGGCTGCCCCAGAGAGGAGGAGGAAGGGGGTCAAGCTGTTTTCTAAAGCACCCGAAGGCCAGAGAAGGAATAATGGATGGAAATCGACCCAGGAGAGATTCAACCTGGAAATAAGGAGGAATTTTCTGACAGGGAGAACAATCAACCTGTGGAACAGAAGTTGATTTCAGAAGTTGTGGGAGCTTCATCACTGGAGACTTTCAAGAAGAAATTGGACTGCCATTTGTCAGAAATGGTGTAGGGTCTCCCGCTTGGGGGAGGGGTTGGACTAGATGACCTACAAGGTCCCTTCCAACCTATTCTGTTCTCTTCTCTTCTCTTCTATATTCTCTTCTCTTCTATATTCTCTTCTCTTCTCTTCTCTTCTCTTCTCTTCTCTTCTCTTCTCTTCTCTTCTATTCTATTCTATTCTATTCTATTCTATTCTATTCTATTCTATTCTATTCTATTCTATATTCCATTCCATTCTATTCTACTCTATTCTATTCCATTCCACTCCACTCCACTCCATTCCACTCCACTCCACTCCACTCTATTCTCTGTGAACACTACCTTGGTGTTTTTGTTAACTCAGTCGATCATATTGTGGGAACTCTGTCTTTAAATCTAACGTTGTCCTCACCCCCCTTGTGCCTCCTCTGTAACAGCTTCCTCCTCCCCTGACAAACGCCCCCTTGCCTGGTTCTTTTTCTCCAACCCTTCTCTCTCCTTCTGCTTCCTCCTTCAGACGTCCGTCTTCACCCCAGCCTATGGCTCCGTCACGAACGTCCGCATCAACAGCACCATGACTACACCACAAGTTCTGAAGCTGCTGCTCAACAAATTTAAGGCATGTTTGGTTCTTATTCCGGTTGGTTTCCAGTGCAGGTGAGGTCAGGGGTGGGCCAGCTTTCTCTCTTAGGGTTCAAACACCAAACCTTAGCTTCTCTTCTCTTTCTCTTAACGATTCCCCTCCTTCCTCTATACACCTGTCAGGATTCCAGCCATCGCCATAATTAAATCATGATTCTCAAGCCAAACTTCCATAAACTTCCAAGGATCCATTAGAGGCGACATAGCGGCACTGCCCTGAATGAAGCCAACTCTGGCATCCGTCATTAACAGTCCCCCGTGACCCCGTTTCCCCCCTCCTGATATTCCTTCCTCCTCCTATTTTTCCCATAACAACAACCCCGTCTTGCCCAAGGCAGGACTAGAACTCAGAGTCTTCTGGTGATCGGCACAAAGCCCTCTAGCCAGGTGTTGTGCCCAAAATGGGACTAGAACTCTCATCCTTTGGGGCTTCTAGTTTGCTACTTTAATTTACTAGACCAGGCTGTCTCAACTGAAGTCAGGATATCAGGCAGTGATGATCTGGACATCTGGAACTCCTTAGCAAGGGGACCCAATCTTGGCCTGTTTGGAGCAAGAAGCGTTTGGGGCGATGGATCAGGGCTGCGTGCACAGAGAACGAATCCTCTCTTTTTTTTTATTCCTGTTTTCAGATTGAAAACTCGGCGGAAGAATTTGCTCTGTACATTGTACACACCAGTGGAGGTGAGAAGGATGTTTTTGTGTCTTGCAGTGGTAGGGCTTCTATGCAAGGTGTTGTTTTTTGGACCCAAGGTCCTTTCTTGGGGCCCACTCTGGTGAGCAGGTGGATAAAGTCATGATAAAGACATTTAAAGGGACGGAACAAATGTTAACATTAAATCAGTTGTTGTATTTGCCTATTTGCTTATTAAGCATTTCCCGACTTTAAGATGCACGAACTTGCTGGCTGGGAATCCAACTGGTGCCATGGTTTCATGCATGCTGTGTAAACTGGGGGAAGTTTCTTGGATTTGCGTATTAGAGGAGGTCATTTCCTTTCTCCTCATGAGTTGTCCTTGAGGTCTGGATCCCAACCCTCATCCTTCTCCTCTATTTCCTGCAGAAAAGCAGAAACTCAAGGCCACAGATTACCCGCTGATTGCCCGGATTCTGCAGGGACCGTGTGAACAGGTTTCCAAGGTTTTTTTGATGGAGAAGGACCAGGTGGAAGAAGTCACGTACGATGTGAGTCGTCATGGGGTGGGAATCCATCCTTTTGCTTATCACCTGGAAGTGCTTCCTTGGGGTCCAACGTCTTTGGAAGAGGAACGTGCTGGGCCCCACCATTAAAACTTTTACTCTCTTTCCAAAACCCCCCATGTCTTCAGGAGATAGCTCCTTACTTATTGGTGTAATTATTTCTCATTATATCAATAACTCAATTGCTTATACATTATTGAGAACGATTTTGAGTACTTGCTGCTACATTTATTTCAGGGGGTCACACATTCTTATTTTCGCTTTTTTTTTCCAGGCCCACAAAACCTACTCATTCAAACCTTAAAGAGATGGGTGTTTAACTGTATCTTAGCACAATTAGTTTGTTGTGGGAGAAGAGTGGTGCTGTCTCTAACTTTTTGGGTTCTGGAGGAAATGTGAGACATGAAGGTCCAGTTTATAGGTGCTTTATTTCCCCCAAGTGCAGAGGGACACAAGGGCTTCAGAAATAGCACCGAGGGATAAAATGAGCCTCCATTTCCCCACCGTTAGCCTTATTTTGTTGCTGTGGTGCCCTAAATGGCTTGGAGAGCAGCGTTTCTCAACCTTGCAGCCTGGGGGATTCTGGGAGTTGAAGTCCACCCATCTTAAAGCTGCCAGAATTGAGGAACAGAGAGTGAGGAGCGTTCTTCTCTGCACCTATACAAAAGGAGCCCACTGGACTAGTGGTGGCTAACCTATTTGGGCTCCTGTGCCAAAATTTGTGCTCGTGCTTGCACGCTCGCATGCCAGCACCCAAAAGGCAATGCGTGTGTCCTCCCATGCTCCCTACGTGTGCATGCGCACGCAATCCCCACCCACCCACCCCCGCCATCCCCTTACTTGCACTGCGCCTCACAGTTGATTTTCAGCCGGTTTGACGCCTTTTTCGGCCTCCCAGAGGCTTTAGGAAGGCTTCTGCAGGCTTTTCAGGACGAAAACTAGGCCCGTTTCATCACTTCTGGTATTTCCGGGAAAACAGGAAGTGATGAAACGGGCCTAGTTTTTGGCTTGAAAAGCCTGCAGAAGCCTTCCTAAAGCCTCTGGGAGGCCGAGAAGGGCCTCAAACCGGCTGAAAATCAGCTGTGAGGCGGTGCGCGTATGTGCAGTGAGGTAAGTTTTCCTGCAGCTCGCATGCCAGCACAAATGGCTCTACATGCCACCTGTGGCACTCATGCCATAGATTCGCCATCACAGCACTGGACTGCGTGAGGTTTGCAAAAACTGGGTGTTCCCAAACTGTCTGCTTCACTTCTCCATATTTTGTGCGTCTATCCAGGTTGCTCAGTATATTAAATTTGAAATGCCAGTTCTAAAGAGCTTTATCCAAAAACTTGAAGAGGAGGAAGACCGGGAAGTGAAAAAATTAAAGCACAAGTAAGTTATTTCTTCAACAAACTTCAAAGGATTTACTAGAGGCAACACATAACTTTCATTTTGGGGAGAAAGGTAGGATACGCAAATGGAAGGGACTGGGCATGTCAATGCGTGCCCTGGTTTTGCTTCAGGATCTAATAGATGCTTCCCAAGATGAAAGATGTCCCCCTATCTTCTGGAAAGAACAACGCAAATATTGACATGGAAGCACAAAAACCTCGTGGTGTTAATTGGGGAATCCCAAAGGTGCTTTTTTTCCAAGACTTTCTTGGTTTTTCTTGGAAGACGTTTCGCTTCTCATCCAAGAAGCTTCTTCAGTCCAGCTCAGAGCTGAAGAAACTTCTTGGGATGAGGAGAGAAACCATGTGTCAGCTTTGGAAGCCATATTGACACCAGACGCTTCCATGCTGCCACATTCTTGACCCTGGGAAATTGGGAGGGGGGGGGAATTTCTTGGAGTGTATGTAGTTAGACATAATAACATTCTTTTTCTAAGTCAAGGTCATGTTATTTCTGCACCTGGGTGAGAGAACGTCTCAAGTTGGGACGGATGGTGATTGGGGCTTGTGATGCGATGATAGGTGCAGGGGGTGGATTTGTAGGTTTTGCTTATTGTAAGGAAGCCTGGAACTTTCAGATTCGGGATTCCCCAGATACGCCAGTTTACTATCCAAATGAAACAGAACTTTTGAGAAGATGTCTTGGAGTTATTTGTTGGAGTGAAGGTTTTCTGGAACGCTGACACCATGATCAGGGGGTCTCCAACCGTGGCCACTTTAAGCCCGGTGGTCCAACTCCCAGCTTTGCTGGCTGGGGAATTCTGGGAGTTGAAGTCCTCCAGGCTTAAAGTGGCCAAGGTTGGAGACCCCTGACCTGGGGGACGGAGAATCTCCATAAACACTAATCAGGGAAGGAAGTCATTTCCATCCCGTTCTCTTCCTCCCTTGCTTAGTCCAGCTTAGTCACTTCCTTTTAGCTGCTCTCAATGGATAACTCTTCCATTTTGGATCCCTTTAAGGTATTCGGTGCTACGTGTAATGATCGAGCAGCGGTTGGAAGAAATCTCTGATGGTCCCGCAATGATGTAGACGCTTGATTTGAAAGACTGAGGCCTTCTGGGCCCCCAGCCAGGCACCCTGGAAACAGAATCCTTCCCTCGCTCTTAGGAACCAGGTCGTCTCTTCTTCCAAGGAAAGGGACTAGAATGAGAGCCACTTTGAGCACCAACCACCTTCGCTCCTTCTCCCTTTGACAACGATGAACTCGGTGGAGAATCTGGGAAGACGCTGGGGAGGAAACCTCTCAGCACCAAGTGTTTGAAAGCAGGTCTTCTCCACGTCTTTTGGAGCTGATGCTGGAACTGGATGATTGTCCTTTGGAACCAGGCCTGCTGGATGAGAAGCCTCCAGAAGCCATCCAGAAGTTTCTTCCACAGAGCAGCTCTTTCCTTCTCGAGCCCTTTTAAACAATTATCCAGAGAAGATGGGAGAAGATGGCTGTGGTAGGGCGGGGATAAAAGAGATGCTTAATGGAAAACTAGGTCTTCCCTTCATTTGACTTCCTTAACTTAGCAGTAGTCACTATGGACCTTTTGTGGAGTCAGAGCCCTAAAATGCTTTGCATTCTTCACCTTGTCCATCTCTCCCCATCCAACCATCCACATCTGGCCTTGGTGGTCATCTCCCTCTCCCACCATGCTCATTGCCATGTTTGTAATGGCCATGTTGGGTTTGGTACAACTCCTGGCCTTGACCTAGAAGACTTCTCATGTCTTCTTCTGAACTGAAGCCTTTTTATCCACCTTTCCTGCCTTGGTCCCCAAGTTCTCTAAAGGCACCTGAAGAGGTGAAGAGTTGCCTGCCCAACATAGGAAATCTTCTCAGTTTGTTTGGTTCATCGGTCAAGATTCCCCAGATGGGCACAGGACATAAGAGCCTCCAGAAATCAATCATAGCAACAGCAATAGACTTATATTCCGCTTCACGGTGCTTTCCAGCCCTCTCTAAAGCGGTTTACAGAGTCAGGCTCTTGCCCCCAACAATCTGGCTCCTCATTTGACCCACCTCGGAAGGATGGAAGGCTGAGTCCATCTTGAGCCAGTCAGGACTGAACTGCTGGCTGTGGGCAGAATTAGCCTGCAACACAGCACTCTTAACCACTGCACCAACATGGCTTCCTTGCTTCCTTCTCCTTGTTTTCCTTCCTTCCTTCCTTCCTTCCTTCCTTCCTTCCTTCCTTCCTTCC